TGTTTAAGACAGTGATACATTAAGGTGACATCATTGAGATCCCCTCTGAGGAAAGAGAAAGGAGTCAGGAGACAGTTTGTGAAATGTTTATATAATTTAAGCTGTGATTCTGGTCAGTGATGTTCTGAATGGTAATGATTATTTTTAGTGTGGTTTTGAGTACTTTCCTGTGACTCAAATTTGAAAAGCACTTAATTTACATTGTTTCCTTTCCTCTGAATGCTCTTTTTTGAAAATAACGTATATAATTTTCATGAAATGGAATATATACATATCTTGTGACATACTTTCCTTTCTCACTGAGAGAGACTCTTGGATGTGTGCATTTAGAGACGTGTACAAGAACGTCTTGCAGAGGCATTGTTTGCAACACAAAAACCTGGAAATACTCAAATATTTATCACTAGGAGAAAGGACTAGTAGTTGTGGTATAGTTGCCCACTGAACTATGGCAGCATTGCAAATAAAAAACTTTTAGCTACATGTGCCCAAAAATATTTAATGTTTCTTTCCTGAAAAAAAAAATTTAATGAGAAGATAAAAAAAAAATTAAACTAAGCCATGCAGTATTTAATTATATATAATACAGGCAAAAACATAACCCAATTCCTTGGAAAGCTGTCCTGATGCTATTCAGAAATATTGAGGGGCGCATTCATTAGGTGTTACAGTAGGATCCAGGTTTCTACAGTTTTGTTTTAATCATTTACATTTACATTTAGTTTCATGTTCAGGGGTAGTTCTCAGGCCATTTTGTTTCACTAAGAATGTATATCTCAATATGAAATTGAATACTTTGAAGAAAGTGTTTATTAAAATAATCTATTGGTGAGTCTAGAAACTTTACTCATAAAGTGTAACTTAAGATACTAACGTTTTCTGAATTAATTCCATTTAACTGAAATTTTTTAATAAATTTTATTGAAGAGAGAAAATGATGTCATATAAGCAGTATATTCTGTTCACAACACAAGGATCAACTCTCTTAGGTGAGAAAATATACTGACAGTAAAATGAAGTGGAGATAGTGCATGACCTATAATTTTTTTCTTAACGTGATATAAAAATAAGTATCTCAAATAAAGAGTAATTAAAAGTTATAACTGTTCACAGTATCATTGATTTTAAATTGTCAAATTAAATAAGCTAGGTTAAAATTGCATTTATAATTATATAGAAGTTTATAATTTTTAAACAAAAAGCATTTACCAAAAATCTAAAAGTTTAAAAAACCTATTAACTCAGATTTAAAACTTAAAATAACCTTTAGATAATGATTTTTATTTACCCTTGTTAGAACTAAAAATGTAAAAATAATAACCTATCTCTGTTACATGTAAATGTCAATCCAATCAAAAGGTGACTGAAAATTAATGACTTTATTTAAAAAAAAACAGTTCTTAAAATTTAAGATTGGATCTATTTTTTTGTTAAAAGATTTTATATAAATTATAAGAATGACTTAATTATAAAATTCATAAAGATAATTTAAATTCAGAATATTTAATTTAAGATAATTTAACCTCAAATATATAATTATGACTAGTTATGACTTTGAACTATATAGAATTTGAAGCAAGTCATATAACCTTTTTAGATAATTTTCATAATTAGGTGAGAACAAGGCATGATGGATCTCCATTTCATTTTCTTGCTAATATTTGCAATTTAATACTACAGTTAATCCTTAATTGCTGAGAGTTATCTATACTATGGATACCATTTCTTCTTTAATAACAATATGTAATACATTTTAGAGGTAAACTAAGAAAGAAATGTTAGATTAAAAGTTTAAAAAAAAAATCTTACTACAGTGTCTGTGTGACTGAATGTGCGTGCACGCCCATGTGGTACAAAGGGAGAATAAACTTTTTGGTGGATGCAGGGCTTATGGGAAGAGAATAGTTTCTTAAACCTGGAAACGTAAGATTCCCGATAGGTGTACCTGCAATGAAGGCGTTAGGTCCTGGTCTCAGTTAGAAGGGTGTTTTCACCCTGAGTGTGTGAAGGAGGAATGTAACGTGGTGTGCTTTCCATTTGAGTTTTAGTGACATTGTGGAGCAGGAAAGAATTAATGCAGTTATTTTAAAATAATTCAGTGTAAAGGAAAACTGAGGATTATTATTTGCACTTTTGGATTGCATTTCCAGATCCCCATTAATAGTAATTTTATTGTCAATTGGGACACAAGGTTTCAGGAGTGTTTTGGTGGGAAAGTTTGTGAGTCTCTATTTTCAATGTTAATATTCTGATACCAGTATTTTAATCACTATAGTTTTCGCTAGTAAGCTCAAATCCTTTTTTAACAGATAGACATGAGCTGCAAGTCTTTATTTTCCCCCAGTTTTAAGAATTTTGCAAATGATTATGGTGAAGAATTTTGACTGTGACTTATTTTAATGTATGAAATGAACTCTTCGCATTTTGCTTTCACAACATTCATTTTTATATTAATTTTCAGTGTCGCTTGACTTTAATTTGCTTTCTTATTCGCTTTCATGTTTCAAGCAGGGGTTAGGGTGTACCAGTGAAAAGCTTAAATTATGCGACCATTTTTAAACATGGGTGTGTGTATGAATGCTGGTATGATTTTAAAGCCTGCCGTTTTTTGACCACAAAGAAGAAATGAAACATCTAAGAAGAATATATGCAGAAGTAGTTATAATTTTCCTTAAAAACTGAAAAAGGTACCATGGAATATTTTACCATCTTTCTTATTCTTTGTATCAGAATGTTTTGGTGGTTAGTTAAACATGATGTGTGCTGGACAAATTTTAAATTATAAGGCCAGATATTCTCACCATCTGGCCATGTGTCTAGGTGAAATAATTCATTTAAAATAAATTAAGTTTTATCATAACTTTCCAACTTGGATACAGCTTTATTCTAAACCACCAAGTTAAGATGTCTTATGTTGTGTATCTACTCAGACATTCCTATTGAACTAACACAGTATGGAATGGTTTGGAGAAAATTTTCTCTAACTTTAAGACTTTGCCCTGAACTTTTGATTCTTCATGTTTACATCTGGATGACAATCTTTGACTTGTTCAACTTTTACTTTCACCCGACTTTTGTCACTCACCTGATTTTTAAATCTCGCTGGCATATCCTTAGAGGTAGCAACACATGAGCCTCAGATTCAAAAAGCAATTAACATTTTAAAATTTTGCTTAATTGAATTTGGTGTTAGTGAATCAAATGGGTTAGTGTATCATCATTTCATTTAGTTTATTTGCTATGTATACGTAGTACATGTCCTTTCAATTTTATGTGATGAGGAATGATGCTAAGAAGTTGATTAGATTTTGGAAATCTTTTTACACTATTACTTTCACTTTACATACTTTTTCTTGTTTATTGTTGATACTCTTCATCATGTTCTTTTACCTTCTGAAAATATAACCATTATATCTATTGTATAAAACCAATATCCTCTGAGGTTATACTTCAGTTAGATGTGTGTCAAATATTTGAAAAACCAGTGAACATTTCAGACGTTAATGATTCCTTCTTAGGCAGTAACATGAACTACAAACCGTTGAGGATTATGTTCTGTGAGAATAATCCCTTCTAGCCTTATGTCTCTTGATTTGACAGGGTCAGTTCATACCTTTAATGCTTTCATATTTGCAGAAAGAATTTGACATCCAAATTAAAAAATATATATATACCTGAGGTTTATTTTTTATTTATTTATTTATTTTTTTTAAAGATTTATTTATTTATTTGTACAGAACTGGGTTACAGGCCAGAGATGCGGAGGGTGAGAGAATTCACCAGAGACAGAGCGGGGAGCAGAACAGGCAGATAGACGAAGTACACTGCTGAGGGGAGCAGCGGGCAGGCCAGGAGAGGTCTGCCTCGCCATGTGGTCACCTCCGGGGCAGGCGGGAATCGAACTCATGCAGAAGTGGCTTTAGCTTCTCAGTGCAGTGCCTTAACCCGCTGCGCCACCAGGGAGGGCCAGAGGTTTATTTTTTTAAAGTTAGTGATTCTGAGAAAGTTAATCATAACTTTAGTGAAATAAACAAAGGATACACATTTTTAAAAATTAGATAATTTTATAGCAGCTTAGGTTTCCAAAAAAAATTAAGCACAAAGAGGTCCTCCCTGGTGGCACAGTGGTTTAAAGCACAGCATTAAGAAGCTAAAGCCACTTCCGCATGAGTTCCATTCCCGGCAGCCCCGGAGGTGACCACATGGCGCGGCAGACCTCTCCTGACCCGCCCGCTGCTCCCCTCAGCAGTGTACTTCGTTGATCTGCCTGTTCTGCTCCCCACTCTTGTCTATGGTGAAGCCTCTCACCCTCCACATCTCTGGCCTGTACCCCAGTTCTGTATGAATAAATAAATAAATCTTAAAAAAAAAAAATTAAGCACAAAGAACAGGAGTTCCCACATACCACTTCTCTCAAGGAGAAATAATTAATCCACAGTGTTCACTGTAATCCTAAACCAAGTTGTGCCCAATGTATCAAATACTTATTACAAAGTTCTTATATCTGTGGGAAAGTAGGTAGTTTGGTTTCGACTATTTATGACTTTATATGAGTATTACACTGTGGGTAGATAAAAACTTAAATAAATGGTAAGTGAATGCATATTTTTGAGGTCAGTTGTGTTTTAACTTTTTGTGGTGTCCTAACTGGATTGTTGTGTACTCAAATTGTAACAGTTAAATGACCTCATGCGTCGTTTTTTCAGGGATTTCAAGTTTCTCAAATTGAGGATAACATTGTATATCAGACATTCATTTTGTTCTTCAAAGTTTTGTTTCTAGGTCTGAAATCCGCCAATTGTAACAGCTTGTGTGTCAGCGCCTGTAGATGAAGCTCCTGTGTCAGTGTTCTTAGTACACTAAAAACTTCTAGAAACTTCACATAGTTGACTACTAATAATGTCCACTAACTGATGTTAATTGTGGAATTATAAAACATTTTCACTAGTGAATATGCTGTCTGTAATAATTAAGGTTACTCTTTTTGTTCTACCCTGCAGAAAATTTCCAGACTTGGTGAAAATAGGAAAACTGTCAGAGAGGCTGGAGCACTATTAGACTGTAAGTATTGCTTTGAAAAAGAAGTGTGAATTAAGAATATTTTAGGTATCCAATTGTTTGAGGAAAATATGTTAGGCAAAGATATTATAAGTAACATAAAGGAAGATATGTTATAATCATATTAATAATTTATGAGATCTAATCCTATGATGCAGTCTTTTAAAAATTGAAAATGCTTTCTTATGTATTGAGGTGAAGATTTTACCAATAGCATTGAAAAATATTTCTAATTCTAACAAGGATTGATCTAGTTTATGTACATTGCTTATTTAAAACTATCAGAATCCAGAAAATCATTGTAGTTTTGTAGGTTTGTGATTTGTTTGGGTGACTTATTGTTTAGGTTATTTTGCAGAATTATTTATTTGCTGATTTATTTATGTATTTCATTATTTATTTATTTGATTATTTAGTAAATTATTTATCTGATGAATTATTAATATATCTTCATGACATGCTTTAAATTATTTATAACTTAATTTTGAGTTTATTGCTTTTAGACGCTGCATTGTTACTGACTAGTTTTGATTTTTTTCTTTGTGGTTCTTTAAAATTAAAGTATTAGCTCTAAGGCAAAAGTATATTCATTGCAGTGGTCATGAGTATTTTTTTTTCTTTTAGTAATTTATAGTAGAGATAAAATTTCATTTGTGCTTTGGATAGCTCTGAACTCACCGACTTAGGGTCACTGGAGGTGTGTGGTGTGCAGTCATTGTAGACTCACTTACAAATGAATGACACCACCTATCTCTAAACTGAGATTGAGCATGCTAACCTCAGTCCATGTTATCCTTTGTACCTCTAAAAGGCAGGTTTGTATTTCTTACTTGCTTTCGAGTAAATAATGGGGTGTTGGTTAATTATTTTGTTATTTAGGAAAGTTCAGAGAAATAAAGTCCAGTGTAGACAAAGATCTCTAAGGCATAAAATTGTCTGATGTGTCCTTTATTTTCCTAAATCCCCTACTAGATGTGTCTTTAAAAATAGCATGCAATTTACATAGATTTTTATATCAGTTATAATGACATTTATTCCCTATCATAGTTGCTATGGAAAGTTTTATACTCTATTTAATGAACTAAAGTGGACAGAGGTCTTTACAAATGCAAGCTATAATTTCTCTGATCTGAGCCAATAATTCTCCTATGTAGTTTCTATTTTCAGTCAGATAAGGTATTTCTTCTGACTACTTCATAAGGCAGGGCAGTTGTTAGGGCTCTTTTGCTGAGTGGGTTTAATGACTAGGTCAAAATAGTTGTTTGGGTAAATGAGTGCCACGTGCACAACATGGTCTTCTGTGTTTGCTCTCAGTGAGTGAATTACCATGCACTTCACAGTTTTTACACTTCGGGGAGAAGGAATATTGTACACTTCAAGTTCGGATACTCTAGAAATACATGAAAATGGCCTCTGCAGTCAGGTTTTACTATAGTTGTAAATTATGCATATGTATACCCAAATTTCTTATTTTGAAATATGGAATATATGAATGTTTAATTGGGATAGTGCTTCAGTATCTTCATATGCTTGCATTTAAGGAAATGGTTTCCTTTGATTTATATACATGGATTAAAATATGTGTACTGTGCATATCCGTGACTCTTCTGTTGTGGAGATGAACAACCACAGACTCTGTGAGCTATGGAATTTTATTTAAAATGTGCTTCAGTATGCCAGTGGTGACTTCCTTAGAAGAAAAAAGCTGCTGCTTCAAAGTTGAATAAAGCTCTGTTATATTAGTTGTCGTGATAAAATGCCTAGCCCACACTATTAACACGTATTGGTGGGTGGCTAGCTGTGTCATGTAGATGATCTTTCATTGGAAGATAAGCAGTTTGCCTGCTCACCCATACAGACACATGTGAAATTTTCTGGTCACGTCAAACTAATTTTTTAGGACTTGTGTTTTTCAAAAAATATTAATGGAAATTATCATAATACTAGCTGACATTTATTGCGTACTGCACAAGCACAGTGTTCATATCTTTTATAGAGATTATTTGTTATTCACAGTGAGGTAAGTACTATTGTATCTTTGTTTTACAAATGAGGAAACAGAGATTTAGAGGCATTAAATAACTTGCTCATTACCACACAGCTGACCAAAAGAGATGATACTGGGATTAAGACTCATTTACACTGACTCTCAAGGGTCTGTCTTAGCTATTAGGTTTGTATATTTAGATGGTATAATGTAGTTTTTAAACAATTGTTTTAATTTTTTTAAGACTAGTTATCTATAATAGATTTATTCTGTTAAATATATTCACTTTGCATTCTACTCGGTCACCTTTTTTTAAACAGGCAGTACTTAAACTTCTTGTATTTTGTGGTTTGATTCTTCTTAAAATCTTGTGTGGCCAATCAGAATTACATACAGAAGAATTTATGTCTCAGGGAGATTGTATGTTTGTCTGGTGGATGTCCTGTGTACAGATCAGATCTTTTGAATTTAAAGTTTAAGATCATTTCCAGGTTTCTGTTTTTTTGAATCTGATGTCCTTATAAAACTAATGGTGTTATCAGGGTCAGATAAAAACACTGTGAAACGAGTGATTAAGTTTCTGATGTGTAAGTTTCATAAAGATGGTTCCAAATGTATTGATACTATTAAATTATAGTTTTTAATACACAGATAAGTGTTTTAACTTAAAAAAATACAAAAAAGTAACCAATTATAATTTTAAATACTTAAATGTAATTATTTAGAACATTGTTGGGAGCCTCAGAGAGACAGGGAGAAAAGAAAAGTTTGTGTGAATTTGGTGTGAGATAAGAGAAACCTTTTTAATCCTGTTTGCGACCTAAGGACAAAGGGAGACCTCTGTCCTCTGTCTGAATCACACAAAGCACGTCAGAAAGCAGGACTTAGATTAGACAGCAGCCGAGTCTATGTGATATTGTTATGAGTGTCAAAAGTAACTGCATTTGTATGAATGACAAGGGGTAGTATGTATCATTCAAAGTTTGAAGTTAGGAAAAATTTTCAAGTAAATAATTCATGTTGTATCATAAAATTCTCAGTCTATGACGTAGGTAAAATGAAATACTGGAATTGCAAGGCTGGCCAATACTCTTGTCTTCCTCGTCAGGACAGTTTGAGAGTAAAAAAGGGTATGCTGCTGGTCCTGCAGATATAAACGGAGACTTTGCATACGGGGGCCAGTGGTCATGCTAGGAATACCCAGCCATCATATTAGTGCTATTTAAGAGAATCTTAGTGCAAAGGTGAAATTTAAATCTAAAAAGTTTTATGATAAAACGAGCTTCTACTATGGCCATACTTTGTGTTTTTTGTTTGTTTTGTTAGCCAACCAAGGCAGTTTGTGCCTGATTTTTATGAGACGTGACTTTGATGTTATTACAGCTTTTGGAATCTTATTTTCCAGGTGAGAGTGAAGGGGTTTTACTTCTGGAAACAGGAAGCTAAGTGTGACAAAGTTTAGAACTACTAGGTTCTACTAAATTTGTCTTCATATACATCATAGAAAATTTTCAATCGAAATTGAAGGTGTATTAGACCTTGTATTGAAAATTAACCTTATTGTTATACATGTAGAATTTGTAATTTTATTTTATTTTTACATTTTAGGATATGTTTATTGGGAAAAGGAGAAAAAGGGAGGCAGTCGTGGGTGGGCAGGAGGAGCTGCTGCTGCTGCTTTGCAAAGGAGGCAGAATTTATAATTTTATGTTGGATAATCCAGTGGTCTTTTTTTTCCCTTTAAAAATCATGTTACATGTTATTAATAATGTGGCCATTCTCACTAAACAGTTTTGAAAACAAACAAACCTGTGTTGCTTTGGTGAAATTCTGTGTGGGAATAATAGGACTCCCTAAAAAAAGAGTTGTGTAAAGTTTTTATGTGTGTGTGTTTGTATAGTTTTCTTTTTAATTCCATCTGACCTGTAGTTATCTAATATGGTGTATTAAAGTCATACTTGGGTAATTGATTTAAACTATCTAGTTATTTTTGTGTGTATAGTAGATGACTTGTTAAGTTGAAGTGGGTGACCTGTTGGTATATTTTCATTTGTGCTTTAAAAAGAAACATTCTTATGCAGTAGTTCTTACTCATTCATATGTGTAATACGAGAACTTTTCTTGTTCAAAAAGGACTATTATGCCTGGTAACAAAGGTAAGGACTTCTATATATTTTGCTTCAAATTTGTCACAGTGTGAAGCACTTTGTGAAATATTCCTGTAATCTTAAGAGGAATCCCGGAGTTTATGTGTGGGCTTTGAAGGGGCTCCTTTATAATAAAAGTACAGCCAAAGGTCATGTTAAGCATGAGGTTTTTTCACGTCTTGTGCATGTTGTAGATAGCATGTGAGGTCATTTGGGCCCCTGAACTGACGTTGAGAAAGCCACCAAGTTTGCTTTCATGAAATTGTCTCAGGTCTCTTTCTCCCTACCTCTCATGGGATGGAAAATTCAGCGTGAGTATTTGACTAAGTAGAGCCTTCTTAAATTTAGAATTTGCAGAATGAAAAGGGACCCTCTAATAATGCAAAGATTCCTTTAGATATGAACTAAAATTAATATATAAGAACCTATAATCATGCTGAATATTATACTGAGTAAATACATCAACTTAGTATTGACCACCATAATACCGATGTTACTAACCTAAACAATAGCAATCAAACAGCATAACAACCACAAAAACAAACAGAAAATAAAAATCACACAGATGAAAAGATATATAATCATGGCATATTTATACATCTACGATCTATTGAGTAGATTTTGTTTTTAGACTTTAACTTGGCTAGATAAAAGATTGAATATTAACAAAGGTCATCTATAGGAAAACTTATTTCAAAAGCATATATGAAAGAACATACATATATTCTTAAGTGGTTATCACATCTTTGTAAGTCATCCTCAACACATACTACCAAAAAACAGAGGCTGAAAAAACAGTGTTTGGAAGAGGGTAAAATTGGCATGTTGTATGATTTTTATTATTATAATTGCTATAAATGTTGATTTCT